ATGACACATTTCCTTAAAATTTCTTAAAAACACCTTATGCTTCCGCTTCTTATCAGTTGATTCCTAAGAGCTTTCTGAGTTTCAGTCTCTGTTACTTCACTGTAAAAAGGTACAAGAAGCAAAGACACAAAAATTAGCTTGCTGTTTCCTTAGTTTCATAATGGCTGACTAAGAGTGTCTCTGTTATATTAAATTAAGTGAAGACAACACAATGAGACATTTTGGGAAGGCTGTTGTAACTGTCACAGATGCTGGTATCTAAAGACGTTCTTAGAATGGGAATGTAAATTGGTATAGCCACTGTGGAGAAGAGTAGGGAGGTTCCTTAAAAACTAAAAATAAAACTACCATATGACCCAGCAATCTCACTCCTGGGCATATACGCAAATAAAAACTATAATTCACAAAGACACATGTGCCCCGATGTTCACTGCAGCACTATGTAGAACAGCTAGGACATGGAAGCAGCCTAAATGTTCATCAGCAGAGGAATGGATAGAGATGTGGTACATATATACAGTGGAATATTACTCAGCCATAAAAAGGCATGAAATTGGGTCATTTGTAGGGATGTGGATGGAATTAGAGACTGTCACACACAGTGAAGTAAGTCAGTGAAAAACATTGTATATTATCACATATATGTGGAATCTAGAAAAATGGTATAGACAATCTCATTTGCAAGACAGAAATAGAGAAACAGATGTAGAGAAGAGCAAACACACGGATACCAAGGGGGGAAAGGGGAAGTAGGATTAATTGAGAGATTGGGATTGTTGCATATACACTATTGATACACAGTACTGGGGTGACCTAAATGGGAAGGAAATCCAAAAGGGGGGATACATGGACACGTATAGCTGACTCACCTTGCCGTATACTAGAAACCACACAACACTGTAAAGCAACTGTACTACGATAAAAATTGATTTAAAAAAAGATGTGGTTAGAGCGTAAGAAAAGAGGAAGGAAACACATGTGCTTTGACTAATAACTAAAAATGAGCAGGGGGATAGACAGGTGGGAAGAAATGTCACAGTGGAATATAGGTGTGAAGAGAACAGAGGACAGAAATATAAAGATCAACACATACCTCTGATTTAAAAAGAAAACTGATGACATTCAGTGGCGAGAGAGCTGATTCTGTTACGGTGATGAGAAAGGCGCATCTCAATAAAGAGTGAGAAAGGGCAGAAAGCAAGGAGAAGCCTAAAGGCATCTACCACAGAAAAGAGCTCATTTCTGAGTCTGAGGGAACCAGGTTTTACTTCAGAAAAACTGAAGGAGAAACACCGTTTAAATATATGAGTCGATGTTACATGGAAAACGCAAAGGGCAAGAACAAAAGGTGTGTCGGTAGCAGGAACACGGCCCCGTTTCCCAGGAGGTCAGACTGTCAGGGGCAGTCCACTGGTGGTACTTTGAAATGGAAGTGAAGAGTCTATCTTGTAAGATAAAAGAGACTGGGATGAGATGTTTTCTCATTCTGTATTTTCAGATTTTGAAACACTTGTTTCTGTAGCTTTGATATTTTTTAGCTTTTCTGGTTGACCTGCGGGTTGTTTTTGTGCTGAACAGAGGATGGAAAGCTGCGTTTGCTCCCATTCATGGATCTAATTAGGCATGTTGCCCAATCTGTAATAAATCATGGGTTTAGTTTTTCTTTGCTAAGGTGGTCAGAGGCCTTCAGGCATGAGTGACTCATTAAAATGTACTCTTGTAGTTGGGGATGAATGATCATCCTGGTATTGTCAATCACTCAATAATTTTATATCCCCAAAGCTCTCTCTTGGTTGTTTTGTACTACGCAAAGATGAACATTTTATTCTCGTATTTGTTCTTAGACATGATTCACATTTTGCGATATCTAGAGCATAAGGAAATCATTCTAAATTCAGCAATCGTGCCAGGTTGACTAAAAAAACGTATTTTCCATATCCACAGAAATGTTAATCAGATTCTTGTTAGAACATGTGTAAGAAGTGGTTTTCATTGTCACAGCTCTTGATGTCAGATTACTAAAATAATTTATGTTTTGTTGTAGGAACATGGGTGCATGCAGAGCCTTCCCAATCACACGACCGCTCTCGGCCCACACTTCTTCATAATACACAGAAATTATTTGTATTTTGTGGTAACGAGTGAATGGCAGCAACAGTAGAATTTCAACGTGGCTGTTCTTTATTTGATTAAATATATTCTCTATTTATTCTTAAAAAAACTAATTTAAGTTAAATGGCAATAAACCATGATAATTTAGAAAACATGTTGAAACTGAGAGTGAAGAGAAATGTTCTCTACGTAAACCACACTGTAAACCATAAAACTTATTTTTGTCAACTGCTTCTCATGACAGTGGCTAGGAATTTGACATTTCTACTACAGTAGGCAAAAAAACATGTAAAATACACTCTCCCACATACCACATCACATCTCTATTTATATTTCCAAACTAAAAGCATTTCAGCCCCCAAAAGTGCTGAGTGTACTGTGTCCGTTTACACCAAGAGCTGTGAGTTCACACAGGCCTTACCTTAAACGGGTGCATTTGTGTGGCCAGGCCCCGCTACCCTCAAGCCATACTTAATGGATCAGGCTTGGCTCACCAAGAGAAAAGCATTGCTCTTGATCCTAAAAGGTGGGGAACTTTTCAGTGAACTCTGGTCAACCCAAGACAAAACACAAAGCTATCCTGGAAACCTGTCTGAAGCATCCAGGATCACTTATCCACTTCAGGATGTGCCAGCAGTTATTCAGCTCCGTAGGAAAATGAGTTCTGTGAAAATTCATGTAGTTTGAGGCTGAGTATTTTAAAACTAGAAAAGGAAACTTAAGTTATCTGTTATGGTACACACGAAAGTGACAGAAATGTGGCTAGTGCTCTGATGTCAGCTGAGATATATCTTCTATACAGTTGACTAGATCTCAGCAGATTTCTAATAAAAACTTCCCCTTTCCACTTCGAGATCATAAGAAGTCAGCACAATCTGGTCTTCTCCCTACAGAAAGGGCATTTAGTTTGGGATGTAACGTTTTAAAACAATAACACAAACCTCCTGGGAGAATACCACAATAAATGTCTCAGAAACCACTCAGTTAATCCCAGGGTATAATCCGGCTGTTTTAAATTACTGCAGGGAATATTACGGGCCTTAATGACACTGTAACTGCTTAAAGCCAAAGAAAGCTAGAAAGGGAGGCCAAAAAGATGAGCTCAGAGCCAGCTGAAGTGACAACAAACATGTGGCTGTTTACTAGGGTTGGAGAGGTTTAGTCTGCAGATGTTTGTGGTCTCTGGAAGGCTTCAGAGGAATGAGTTGTTATGAAGATTTGCCGAGTTTGATGAGAGCAAGATTCTTCTTGGAGATGGCAGGCCCCAGACAGGGAGGCCCAATGGTAGAGACAGAATTTATAGACTTCTGTGGTCAGGTCATACTCTACTGATTCCACAATGTACATCAACAAATTAATATTGTACGGATGTCATTTCAAAGCCTCTTAAAGACGAGAGTCATTATGGAAGCCATTAGAGCACAGATGGTTCAAACTATATGCAGATATTCATACTTGCATTTTTGCATTATAGCTGCTGCTTTTTTTTTTCTGTTGAACTGTAATGAATTGTCTCATAATCTATTCCATCTTCTTGCCATTAGCAGGCTTTGAATGTTCACAAATAGGAGCAAAGAACTCATTTTCCAGAGCTTTAATCACACAAAGAGGGAATGCCTAATTCTCTAAATGAAATGGTCTGTGATCACTGAAGCAGAGATTTAATATATCACGGCAAATTAGGTAGATTTTAATAAATTACTTATCTCTCTGAATACTTTACATATGCTTAAGAAGGAACATAGCCTGTTTGCAAACAGTGAAAACCCACAGCCTATAAAAAGCCTTTGAAGAAAATGACAAATAAAAAAGTAAATTAAAAAATGAAATGCATTATATCCTAGACCTCTAGAGACAATTCCTTTGCAGCATTGATTCACAGCTCCATTAAAAATATCAATTAAATCCTTCAGTGAGATTGAGTAAAAGCTAGAAAATTAACTTTCTGAGCTGCTTTTCAAGGATCTGGTTATCCAGATACACCCGAGCATTGTACAAGCTTGATGTAAATTTTAAAAAAATGATAAAAAGATACTCCTTTCACGTCTAACTAAGCATATCAGAATCTGAGTCATATTTTTAGTATTTTCTTTCTCTGTCATAAGCTAAGTTTTCAAAGTGTATATTTCATGTATAAATATTTCCTCTTTATATACACACATCCCTGGATCCATATGACCATTACAAATATCTGAAAACAATACATATATTAATAAGAAAAGCTATACTTTTTAGGAAGGAAAAATAAAACTTGTTTAATAAGTTGGTGCCAAGTCTCATTCTTTATATTTAATTGATAGAAACGGCATGCATCAAAGAAAATGCATACTGAGCTTTAATGTGCATAAAATGGATATTAGCATTTTAAAGAGGAAGATTAACACATTAATCCAAGTAATTTTCATATATTGCTTCTAATAAAATCTTCACAGTATAAAACTCTTAATGAGGCTAATCATAGGCATTCCATTTAGTGGGAAAATTAGGGATAACATAAAAGTATTTCTTTTTCAGAGGTTTTCTAAGATTTATGCTATTTTGCTTATTAAAAATAAAAATGGGAATTGCATTTCAGTTCTTCATAAGGAAATGTTGAAAATGCAAATAGACTTTCTCATGTTATCATGTAGGTATAAATTATTGAGAAGGTGTTGCCCACTGTGGAGAACTTAAGTTCTCAAGGGGTGGCAGTCATGGGAAGAAGGGAATAGAAAAATAAACAAATGAAAAAGTATACAAAACTTGAACACTTCAAACCCCGGTCCTCCCCGCCCTAGCTTCCCATGAATTATAGATTATATACAGCAGAGTGATTACAGAAACCTCATCTAAATGCTTTCATGTGAGCATTTACTCAGGAGTAGGAGATGCCTCTGGAACAGTTTCTTTCAAGCCTCCAAGTCATCTCTGAATTGCTCGTAGACAGACCGTAGGGCATGGAGTGCTTCGACTGTTACCCTGAGCTTGCCAATACCTCCACCACCTGCTCTGGCATCCAAAACTAGGGAGAGAAGAGCAGAGAAGAGTTAATATCATTCAACAGATTTTTCTTGAGATAAGCCTAACTGAAATAGTAGTTGAAAAGATGAAAACAGCTCTATAAAAGTCCAAAATTCACTGGTATCAGAAATCTAAGAATTAGAGTTTGTCATGTGTGTATGAATGTGTATACCCATTTCAGAGGTATGGCATGTAGGCATGTATGAATACACACTGCTTCTAGAGTTAAAACTAATTATCTCATCCTGACCTTTACCTAGTAGAAAGGCTATAGGATAATGATTCCCACATAGAATCAGAATTTCTTAGAAAGAAACAAAAAGTCTAAAAGGGATCAATATATGACAGTGAAGAATTTGTTCTAACATACAGTGTTAGCGAATAACAGAATGGCAACCCACTCTAAAGAAATTATGTGATCATAATTTGAAATGCTTATTTATCTTTCTAAGGAAAACATTCCATTTAAAATAGATTATATGTGGGACTTGCCTGGCGGTCCAGTGGCTAAGACTTCATGTTCCCAATTCAGGGGGCCCATGTTCAATCCCTGGCTGGGGAACTAGATCCCACATGCCACTAAGAGTTTGCATGCCGCAACTAAAGATCCCATATGCTACAACTAAGACCCAGCACAGCCAAATAAATATTCAAAAACAGATGATATGTGAAATGAGAAAAAGTTAAAATGGCAGACCCAGAATCTTAAGGTCTATGGACTGGTTTTGAGGATCTATGAACAGATGTTGCAGGAAAGAAGATGTAAAATTTTTGAGTGTCAGTGGGCTTCTCTGGGAAGGAGGCACAGCTTTCAGTGGCGTGCCAAAGGGGGATTGCTTGATCATTCTCTGAGTTCAGGGGTGGCAGCGAAATGGGCTGCTGATTCAGACTCCACCCTCTGTGAACAGCGATACCTACTAGTGATTTCAAGGCCAGCATTTTGGCCCTGGTAAGTCTGAGAGCACTTAGGAGTCTATATAGTTTCTTTTGTATTTGTATGTGTGGTTTTCTTGAACTTTTAATATGTGTGTGCCTAATTCCAAGAAAATTTGTAAGAAAACCTTCATATAGAACTTAATATACAAAGACTTAGGTAGAGAAATGAGCAGGTAGGGAGACTGCGGGGGCACAGGTGGTTCCCAGTACACAGAGGAGTCCACCTCTTCTTTGGGATGTTTCATGTCTATGTCTGGCAAAGCACTAACAACCTGACCTGACTAGTGTTTTAATTTTCTGACTCTTTCCTAGAACAAGGCCACAATAGGTGTGTACATCAGGTCAATATGGTCACCTGTGGTCTTGCAGAATGAGAAGATGGTGTGTGAAACAGAAGGACTGGAGAAGAGATTAAGAATACAAAGCAGAGATAATTTTGATCCTTTTTGTCTCTTGGTTCTGGCTGTCTTTATTGGATTTAGGTTAATTTAATCCTCTCATCTTTTTCTTCTATGCCTGCCAAAGTTGTGACATGTATATGATATGTATGTGATGTGTACAGTTTATAAAATTTCCCAGAACAGGTTTCTAATTTGGTTACTTGGTCTAACTTGGTTAATTATTTGACCTGATCCTGAATTTGGCGCACTTGACACGTATCCGGGGCAAGCCTGACGGCTGAATTCTGGTATAAGCAGAGTGCCTGGCACTTAAGAGGCGCTCAGTTAAGTGTCCAGTTAATGCATGAATCAATGAGCTAACAAACCATTTACATTCTTCCAGCTGTGGATGGCTCTGAGGACTTAGGAAGTGAGACTAGGACTCAGCCTCATTGCTCCATTTATTGTATAGCTCAGGCCATCCCTGATTATTATCATTAAAAGTCTTGATTTCGTAAAGTACAATTCCTTCAGCAGACTCTAAACGTGTTATATAGGGATAAAGAGTAGAAATTAGGCGTTGGTGGGGCTCGTACCTGGCGAGGTGGAAGTCAAAGAGCAGACGTTTTGTAAAGAACCCCTAACTCCTCCCTGAATCCTGATGAGAAGCAAGTGACCAGAACGACTCAGTTATTAGTTGTGACTCTACCACTGGATTATAACACTGAATTAAAGAGAAGCCTTGCAAAAGACACTGTGACGATCACTCAGAATAGCATGCCTTAGCTGAAACAAGGCATGAGGCTTCTATAAACAACATTAAAACCAATCCAATGGCCAAATTATTGTCACACTCCCCGAACCCCCCATACTAACAAAATGAGTAATTCCTTGTGAAACGCAATTAATTATTTTAGAATTTCTGTTGACTCAAAGGAAGGCAGAGAAGGAGGGGGATGCAGGGAAAGATTCCAGCTTCAACAGAAAGTCAGCTTGAGCTGCAAAGGGTTCAGCTAGTGTGTGACTCAACATCTTTGCAGCCAGCAAAAAGGTTTTAATAAAGGCTTTGGATTTCAGCAATTGCTGGTGGTACAGATTGAGCAATACTTCCACCCGTACCATCGATGTTTTGCTCGATGATGTCTCTTCCTTCCCGAAACACGTCAGCGAGGTCAACGGTAGCGATGCCAATGTCCTCACACTCCAGGTCCTGCTCATCCTCAGGAGGGTCGCTGACTACAGTGAAGCGAACACTGAGGAGGGGAAGAAGGGAGAGCATCCCCAGAAAGGGAGAGGACACCGCCACAAACGAAACAAGACTCCTGAGTGGGTTTTTTAAAAATCACAAACTGTGACATTTCAAAGTTCTCTATCATTCCAATAAAAAGAAAACTGCATTAGATAAATTATTCTATGAGTGATTAGAATGATTAACACACACCCAGACTTCACATGAACACTAATTCACTTTTCTCAGCACTGATTACCATTTATCTCTAGAATCTGAGAAAATTACTAGGCGAAGAGGAGAACCAGATGTTCACTCTATTACACAATTATCTGATCATATTTTGACATGTCTACTGTTGAGGCTAAAAGGATCAAGTGAGTAAAGACCATGGAGGTTAGGGCAGTGTTTTCAACAGAAAAGCAACATTTTCTATAGAAATGCACAAATTTATAGAGTTTCTAATAAGCAGCTTAACCAACTGTGTTCTATATATTCTGAATTATGTTAGATAAATGCTGTAGTTCTGCCCAACAGCTATATGAATGTTTGTATTACTTCAGCAATCTTTTAACTTACAATCATAGCATCCAAGTTTTATTTTACTTTTAGACATATAATTGTAGGGTTCTGATGGAACTGATTTGAATTAGTGGCTTGTGTTGGGGCCAAACACGGATTGACCAAATGACAGGAATTTACAGTTAAGTAGTCTTTTGATATGTCTTGGCAGCATAGCTTAAACCATGAATACTTGTAAACTACCATATTAACCATTTTCAAAATGTATCCATCCCAAATCAGATGCAAACAAGAAACTGCTTTCTTAGATAACATTCTTCAGTAAAAATCTAAGTCTCTGAGACACTATGCCTTGAAAAACATGCACAGTTAAAATCCTTTCCAAATACTTACAGGTAAACATGACAATATTTTAAAATAATTTGCTAAAAGTATTAACATTTCATTTATTTACTAAGTCCCTGCTTTTTGGCTAGCAACAATTTGTTCAGGAAATAGAAATCCCTGAAGTTGAAACCAAAGGTAATACCTATTTACACAATAACTATAATTGTGAAGACTACAGAATGGTCTGCAAAGTGGGTAAGATGGATATTTTATATAATGCATAAAATAAAGAAATTAAGTGGTTAACATCAAGGCCCTACTGTATAGCACAGGAAACTCTGCTCAATGTTATGTGGCAGTCTGGATGGGAGGCGGGTTTGGGGGAGAATGGATACATGTATATGTATGGCTGAGTCCCTTCCCTGTCCACCTGAAACCATCACAACAGTGTTAATCAGCTATACCCCCGTACAAGATAAAAAGTTAAAAAAAAGATTAAGTGGTTAAGTGCATCCATTTTGGGTTCAAACTTCTGCCTTACTATTTATTAGCTGTGTGACTTTATACAAATTACTTAACCTCTCTGATCTCAGTTTCCCTATCTGTAGGATAGTAATAATTCATTCAGCTCTTGTTAAGATCAAATTAGATGATAAATTAAACAGTACCTGGAACACAGTAAGCACTAAATAGATGTTTGCTCTCTTATTATTTTTAACCTAGGTAGAGTTCCTTAAGCCTCTCCATTTCCAAGGGGAGAGAAAAAGAAGGCATGGGAAAGGCTTGTTTCAATAGAAAACAGAGAAGCCCAAATTACCCAAAGGCTGTATCACTCAAAGAAGAAGAATAATGATGAAAGATATTGTCCTAAAATGAGTGTGCTTAGAAAAGAAGGAATTAGAAGTGATATTTGATGCACATTTATACCCACAAGACTTACAGAGAAGATAGAGGCTACAAGTTTATAATAATAATGTTAAGTGTTATCCTTAAATAATGTCTCATCTAAGGATAATATCTATCACTTTACAAATGCAGACTACAACCTCCACTGAACATATGAGAATTCTGAGACAAAAAGAAAAAAAAACCCTTTTAAATGCCAACAAAAGGGCTAAACATTAAAAAAAAAAGCAATATTTCTCATTTAAAATCTATCGAGAGCAAAGTCAAATATCAAATATAGAAATAAATTAATATTTAGGTTGAAAAGGGAAAAGAAGGTACACTAAGACAGTTTAAAAACTATATAGTTTAGCCTTGGTTTAGGCTAAACTGTATATACACATACATGGACTCGTGTGGACACATCTTATCTTACCTTGAACCCTGTCAGACAAGTGAGATGGAACCCTGCTTTATGTGCTGAAGAGGCTTTACTAACTAGCTTAAATGTCATCTCCTTGGATTTGCCTTCATGTTATTATTATTTTCTTTACTCCTACCTTTTTTTGGCTGGGCTACATGGATCTTGGGATCTTAGGCCAGGGAGCGAGCTCAGGCCTGGCAGTGGAAGCTTGGAGCCCTAACCACTGGATTGCCAGGGGATTCCCTTGTTTAGCTTTCTCTTAGTACCTACTGTAATGTATAGTTGGTTGATTGGCTGTCTCCCTCAGCGAGATGTATATTCCATGAGTGCAGAGACTTCCTCTTATCCAGCATTTTAGTTCCTGATACTTAGGTAGGGATCATAAATGTTTGTTGAACTACTATGTAAACTGCAAAACCGAAGTCCTAGTTGAAGACTGGCTGGAGGAGGCCAGCTTCGTGCTGGGTGGGCCTCAAGAATGAGACCTCAAACGTTGCTTGCTGTCATTTAGGGAAACCAGAAGACACTGAAACTCCTTAGATCATTTACCATTTTTGAGTCTTTCCACATTCTGAAATACTTCCTTTTTATATTAAACAGGATAGAAGAGACTAAGGGTCACCTGTGAATTTTATGCTGGATCTGCACAGAAGAACACTTGCAGGGAAGAAATGAAACCAAAAAGGAGCCTTAAGGCAGTGTCAAAACTATGACTTCAAAGAAATAGTTTTCAGACTCCCATTTCAGTGTGTTGCCTCACTTTTAATGTGACGCTTATCTACTTGTAAATATAGCATGGGGCAGCAAGCAAAGGTGCTATATGTAATTCACTATATTATACAACGCACCTCAATTTATGTGTGTCAGGGAAGTTCGGTCAAACTTATCTAGCTGTAGCTGAACATGTTGTCACCAGTTTACGAGAGGGCTGCTGTCTGAGCAAACACATTCTCATAATCAAGGAGGTACTTGGAGTAATGTGACCTCAGAGTATTTACAAGAAGCGAGAACATTCACTGGAATCACAGCTGTCTTTTGGCTGTGGACAAATGTAAATTCTTTTTTTTTCTTAAGAAATGACACTGCCTCCCTCGATGGCCCCGTCCGTCCCCTGGCAGGCAGAGGAGCTCGTGGCTGGCGCTCCAAGCCCCCCCTCGGCTGCATCAGCCCCGAGTCAGTCACTCTGCCCCTGCAGCGCCTTTTGCTGTGTTTTTCTAAAATGACAGGAACATTTGTGTCTTTGGGGGGCATTTAGAAATTTTAAGGGAAACAATGATGGGGGAGTGGGAGTCATTATAGTTATTGTGGACTTCTAATTTTATTTTTTAAAGCTCAGTTCTGGACAGTGATAACCTAGCTTGTTGACTGCAGAGAAGCAGGTGACATGGCCAGTGTGGTCTAATCACTAGTGACCTGCGATGCCTGAGGGACTGGTGGTATGTGAGGGGGCCTTGAAAGAAGCTGAAGTATACAAAGTAAGTGAAACCTGAGTGATTATCTACCGTCCTGGGAAAAACACCAAACCTTAAAGTAATTAACAGGGTTTTCCTACTCTTTCGTCAGAATCAAGATCCAAGGAAACAATACATGTATTTCAAGGACTTAAAGAAAAAGCCACTGTCAGATCCTAAGAACTAAGAATTTCAGTTTCCTTTCATGAAACAGAAGACTGGATGCTAGTTTGAAAGCTCTTTTGAAAAATCTAACGTTGTGAACATTCACTTGATGACCTCCAGCAAAGAGATGAACTTGAGTCCCTTTCTCAGGTTGGGGGCTAAGCTCAGGTAAGGCAGTGAGCGGCTGTGTCATCATGGGCCATAAAGGCGAGGAGAGGAAGACACTGGGGAGATAAAGGGGCCCCCCGGCCGAGGGGGACGAGCCAGTGAAGGGGCATCGGTGAAGCCCAGCTCAGCGTTCACAGGCAGCACTGAGCTAACACCTCAGACTGCATGGATGGGCGTTCACTCAAATGCATGAACTCACTAAGATCACATTCTTCTTCTCCTTCTCAAAAGGGTTTAATTTCTATACTGTCCCAAAATGCAAAGTGCCCTGTTCAAATTTGCCCAAAAAGACATTAAAAAATAACATGAAATGATGAATTATTAAACCGTGATAGTGATGTAAAAATGTCTCAAAGGCTGAGGAGCTATTTATTACAAATAATAATATTATTATATACTTACTACTGTTTATCATGACTGCAGTGAATACCTACTGTGCACTTAAACTCTGTGTGAGGAGCTAGTCTATCTATCTAACATGTTATCATCTCAGTTAACCCTTACAACACCCTATATGGAATTATTTCCATTTTACAGGTGCAGAAAGTGGGGCAGACTGTGGCGGTCTGAGGTCAGACAGCTAGTGAGGGAACAAGAATTTACACTCCAGACACTGGGTCCAGAGCGCCCCCTCCTGGCAATCACTCTTAGGCGCTTTAGAGCGGCGGCGGGGTGCTTTATATACTAACTGCACTGTCTGGGTCTTTTGGTTTGCAGAGCACTGCAGGATCTTTACAGCTACTCTGTATGACAGGCAGGGCTATCATATTTCTAGGAGGAAAGAGACGCAGAGAGGTCACATACTCGTTCAAGGACACAGAGCGAATCAGGGAAGCTGTGTTTTGCTTCCTTATCTTATGCTTTTTTTTTTTTAACCATACCATGCTACCTTGTATAAACCATCAGGTAATTTAGAATGCTTAAAATGTACCTTCTATTAGGCATCTCTTGTTTCAGTAGTATAGCTTTCAAGATGTCTCTCTTGGCCTGGTTGTTTTCTTTATCCACGTAGATCACTAAACCAAAAAAAAAAACAAACTCACGGGAGGCCGTCACTCAGGAATATGCGGCGTTAGTATTGTATAGACACCTGTTTTTAGAGACGCGTGCCACCTCGCTTGTACGCCTGGGAAAAGAAAGCAGCGCTGGAGACCAGAATCAGATCTGAATAGCCATGTGATCTAATGTCATGTCACTGGCAGGTCTATGTGCACGCTGTCAGAAAAGATACGAGCAACATCTGAGAGTGCCACACTGCTGTCACTGCCTGTTAATGGCAGTGGCAGTCATGACAGTAAAAGCCAGCGGTCTTTATTGCTTTCATTTGAGGGGTTTACTGCATTTTCTTTCACCCAAGGAGAGAGTGATAATGATAATGTATGGCAGAGAGCTTGTCCTTCCTGACAGCCCCAGTAATTTAATCCTTCTTTCCTACCACAACACGAAATAAAAGAGGCATCCTAGTGCGTTGGGTTGAGGAAATTCACAGGCTGACGTCTGCTCGTGGTTGGGTGGGGGATACGGGATAGACTTGTGGAGGGAGACGGGGAGAGGCTTTTTCGGGTGTGAAGTTTGTCTGTGGGTTTTCAAGGTACATGCTGGCATGCAGGGATGTGGCTAGACTTTACTGAGCTGAAATATCAGATTAGATAACTCATCTGAATCCCACCAGGAAGAAGATGGTGAACATGTAAAAGTAAATAAGTGTCTGCACTTTGGGAAAATGGCATCTTGGAGTGTGAACACTTCACTTTTCATCCTGCTTATTTTTTTCTCAGCTTGGCAGCCCTTCAGTCATAACTTAGCTGTGGAAGACATTTCTTTTTCAGATGCCATTTTGGAGTTAAAGTCTCTCTGGTGACCAGATCTCAATTTAGAGATTATCCCTTTATCACACACAGTGTGAAAGATACTGCGACAATTCTAAAGGTAGGTTTCACTGGGAACAAACATATTTTATACTGAGAATGTTTCCCTGGACAATTTGAGTTGAATCTCAAATTATGATGCTATCAAGTCATTTAATCCTTGGCTCAGTTGAGGAAAAACTTGAGTGCCAAAGATGGTACACGCCAGGCACTGAGTTAGGCACACACGGTGAGGGGCGCAGAGGTCTGAGTCGGGGTGGGCTGGGGGTTTAAGAGCTGGGTTACACTACAGCTCTGAGCTTATTGTTCTCTGCACGATGCCGTACCAGTTGAGTGTGACCAATTATGTAAGTTACTGTGATTTACACAAATCGAAAAAGACAAAGCGTTCTTGTAAATTTTATAAATATAGTGTGTTACTTGTTAATGCTAAAATGTCATGCTTTTTGAAAAAGTCATGCTCTTCCACTATGGGAAGAGCAACGGGACCTCATTTTAGCCACCAGAACCCACCTGCCAATGCAGGAGATGGAAGAGATGTGGGTTCGATCCCTGGGTGAGGAAGATCCCTGGAGAAGAGCATGGCAACCCACTCCAGTATTCTTGCCTGGAAAATTCCATGGACACAAGAGCCTAGTGGGCTACAGTCCACAGGAATACAAAGAGTCGGACATGACTGAAATGACTTAGCATGCACACCACACCACATTTTATGTCTTCTGATGGGTATTTAGGTTGTTCACCTCCTGGCTATTGTGAATAATGCTGTGCTGAACATGATGTACAAACTCTGTCAGAGTCCTTGCTTTTGATTCTTTTAGGTGTGTTTCCAGAAGTATAATTGCTGAATCTTTGGCAATACTATGTTCAACATTTTAAAAAAACATCTTTATCACTGAAGAATACTTTGGCTACCTGATGCGAAGAGCTGACTCTTTAGAAAAGACCCTGATGCTGGGAAAGATTGAAGGTAGGGGGAAAAGGGCACAACAGAGGACGAGATGGTTGGATGGCACCACCAACTCAATGGACATGAATTTGAGAAAGCTCCAGGAGATGGTGAAGGACACGGAAGCCTGACGTGCTGCAGTCCGTGGTGTCGCAGAGCCGGGACACGACCGAGTGACTGAACAGCACTGAAACGGGTAAAAACTGGTGTAGCTGGGACACGTGTTGCTTTTGCTTCCTTCAGTTGACTAGCACACTGTATTTCCTCGTCTGTTAACAAAGATGAAAATAGTGATGGCCACCATTTAGCGAGTGACATTTATGTACTACATACTACACTCAATGTTTTGCTTACTGCAATCACATCTGTTAAGAACCATGCTGACCCACAATTTACAGATGATCAAGCAGACCTAGAGAAGGTAAGTAATTTGCCTCAAGTAACCTAGCTAGGAAGTGGCGGAGCTAGAATTTGAATCCAGGAAGGTCTGCCTCATGGCCTGCCTTCTTCACCTCCTGCTAAACCTCCTTCTTCCACATGAGGCCAGAACTCTTTCTGTTGTTTAAGCTGCAACCATGCGGTTAGCACAGACTGAAATGTGAGCGAGTTCCATCACCGTGTCAAGAGAAGCCACCTCACTCTCCTTTCACGCTTTCTTAAAGGGATACTGCCTCATTACACTTGGTACCTTAACCAATTCTCTTGACTGAACACTTCCAAAAATTCCTTTTCGACAAATAATAAACACTGGAGAGGGTGTGGTGAGAAGAGAACCCACCTACACTGTTGGTGGGGATGTAAAGTGGTGCAGCCACTATGGAGAATAGTATGAAGTTTCCTTAAGAAACTAAAAACAGAACTACCATATGAGCCAGCAATCCCACTCCTGGCCACAGATCCTCAGAAAACTGTAATTCAAAAAGAAACATGCACCCAAATGTTCACTGCAGCACTATTTACAATGGTCAAGACATGGGAGCAACCTAAATGTCCATCAACAGGTGAATGGAGATGTGGGTGTGGGTGGGTGTGTGTGTGCGCACATAGTATATACACCACATCTTCCAAATAAATGTATGTATATACAATGGAATATTACTCAGCCACTGAAAAGAATGAAATAATGCTATTTGCAGCAACATGGATGGACCTAGAGATTATCATACTAAGTGAAGTAAGCCAAAGACATATATGATATTGCTTTTATGTAGAATCTAAAAATAAAAAAAAAAAAAGAGACAAATGAACTTATTTACAAAGCAGAGAAAGAAATCAAACTTATGGTTACTGAAGGGGAAAAGGTGGGGGGAGGGATAAGCTAGGAGTTCTGGGTTAATAGATTCACACTACTCTATATAAAACAGGTAAACAGTAGGGACCTACTGTATAGCATACGGGACTATACTCAATATTTTGTAATAACCTCTAAGGGGAAAAGAACCCGAAAAAGAAATATATATATATCTGTATGTATGTATGTAACTGAATCACTGTACACCTAAAACTAACATGCAACACTGTACAACTATACTTGAACAAAAAAATTCCTTTTTGAAAAAACTCCAGCTGCTCACTGATGAGTCTGGTTCTCCGAAAGTGCACCAAGTGAGAAGTATGGCTTCCTGCTCGTATGAATGAGGAGCTCAATCTATTCTGATGGTTCTTAGTCTTTAATGTGCATCAGAATCCCTGCAGGATGTGATAAAATGCAGGTGACTAGGCTCACCTTCAACTTCTAACTCCGTAGGTATGGGGAAGGCCTGAGAATCTGCATGTTTAACATCTTCCCAGCTGCTGGCCAGGATACCATTGAGAACCAAGGTTTAGACCCTTGGTTGACTTTTGAAATCAGCTCCTTTGCCTGGTTTCTGAAAAGGATCAGAAACTAGAAAACATTTTTTTGTGTGTGTTAAACATGTGGGAGACACTTAGGTTAATACCTCTAATCAGGTTATGATCCAAAGAATATCCATTTGATATTCTGAATTAGGTGGGTAAAAAAAAAAAAAAATCTACATTTCAAAACTTAAAGTATCTGTTAAAGAGCAATCCTGGTGATTATGAAATGAATCTGAACTCTCCAAAAGTTAAGATAATTACCTTTCATTCTCATCAGAAGCCACATGGGTTTAAGATTTGCTAGAATTTGACATAAATTTAGTGAAAGGATGTGTCTCAAAAAAGATACAAACCAGTAGTCCAAATACTTGAGGTGATCTTGAATTCTCTACCATTAAAAACACAACCCACGTAAACGTATAACTGACTCACTTTGCTGAAGAGCAGAAACTAACAAAACAATACAAAGCAACTACACTCCAACAAAAAACAAAAACAAATCAGAAAACTACATCCCTCACGTCTGCAGGTTGGGGAAATCCCTATTTTCGTTAGCAGTGTTATTTGGCAGAAGAAATGCAGATAGTTTAATTACATAAGGGGGCTGCCCAGGTGGCATTAGTGGTAAAGAACCCACCTGCCAATGTAGGAGACGTAAGAGACACAGGTTCGACCCCTGGGTCTGGAAGATCCCCTCAAGGAGGGCATAGCAACCCCCTCCAGTATTCTTGCCTGGAGAATCCCATGGACAGAGGCACCTGGCAGGCTAAGGGTTGACAACCTTGAATCTCAGGTAACTTTTGTATTAAAGTATTATCTCCCCTCAGTCCTTATCTTTGCCAGGTTTTTCCTCCCATTAGTAACAAAATCTGAAGTTCTGCATCCTTTTCATCTTCTGAATTAAACTTTAATTGTTCCAACAGACTGTTCAGTGCTCAGAGACTAAAGGCCTAGATCTGTATAAGACTCATAAAAACTTTGGACGACTTCATTAATCTTTTTTCCTTCCCACTGTCAACTCTCTAGAAGATGTTATTCAGCCCAGACAGCATTCTTTAGATCTACCATTAATCTTATTTTTTTAAACCAAACTATTCTCTTGCTCTCTCAGCACTCTCCAAGCAAAATTTTCAAGCCCAATAAAATACAACTTTTGTTTCTGCTACCGATGTCTAGCAAGTTAATTCAACTTTGATTCTTTTTTTCCCCCTAGTGTTAGTAGCCTTAAAAAAAGATCTATTGTGTGTATGTGAAACTGGTACTAACACCTCTTAATAAAGACTGAATTAGGTTATGAATAATCCTGGGGATCACTAGTCTAAACCTCTCATTTTATGTACCTAATTCAGGCCTCAGTATACAAATCCCTTCTGAGTAGATTCAAGTCATACTGCAGAGTAAATCATTCCAAGGTTCAGTTCACCTCTCAACTGGTATGGTGTTCAAATAGGAGACAGCATGCACTAGTTGGCCTTTAAATTTTGTCTCAGTTAAAGAGTCAGTTTGGAAATAAAACTACTTTCATTAACATTTAATAAGATTTGGAAAATGTAAGGCTACATTATATTGACCTTTTATATCAAGTAACAAGTGAATGCTAAATTGTTACAATAATTAGATGAATGAGAGAAGTTATTTATGAAGCAAAGATTCAAGGAGATTCTCCTACAAGGAAAGAGATGCAAACATACTAATTTAAAAATAAGCACTTTTAATATGTCCTCCTTAAGTGAAAAATAAGCCTTCTACAAGGTTAATAATAATTATTTCTCAAATTTGCTGATGATCTAGGACTTCATTTTTTTAGATACAATAGATATAAAACAGCATTAATTTGCTTCTAAGCCCAAAGTACATTTCTCTCCCTTCCCACCATATAAATATCCTTAAAATTCTTTTCAATTAATCTTGAAAATTCTATATAGTCAAAACTCAATAGGTAGAAACAGAAGCTGCAGAAAAGTATAGTAAATACTTCTAATGAATTAAATTCTAATGATTGGTTTTCTTGTTGCTATCAGGTGACTATTAATAGTTCATCAGAAATACTAAAATACCAATTAGTTAGTAGTGTATCTTGTAGTAAAAGGAAAATATCAACAAAAACAAAAACAAAAACAAATCAATGCCAACTAACCAACCTGAAGTGCGTGAAAATCGCTTAGAGGTGTCCGACTCTGCGACCGCATGGACTATACAGTCCACGGAATTCTCCAGGCCAGAATACTGGCGTACGTAGCCATTCCCTTCTCCAGGGGATCTTGACCAACTGAGCTATCACAGCGAAGCCCCAAACTAGCAACTGACAGAAAATCCAGACAGATCGAGGTCATCATGTGAGACTGAACAAAATTCAGGAAACTTGAGCATGTACCACAGGTTTCCCTAAAGAATAACGTGCATTGCTCCTTAAGCAAATGGAAACATCTGTTGTGCTGCATGGCCAAATTTCTCAATGCATAACCAACTTCTAAAAAACAATTTTGTTGTCAGTTCAACCAAACAGTCTCCTGCTAACCTTTACAATGAATAATAATTAAAAAAAAAAAAAAAACAGAAGAGCTTCTCTCTTTTCTTGGGGGTACCTTCATTAAAACTAGTTCAGTAACAGTTTATTCATTACTAATAATACTGTGATAATGGCTTACTTTTCTGATACTTTGCAGTTAAAAGATCTTTAGGAAGTGTGATGAAGTCTTTGGAAATGTTCTGTTAGATCAGGTCAGTGATAGGAAGGAGAAATCAGATTCTTATCCTGACCACACTACTTATTCCCCAAGTGACTTCTCAACCTACCTCTTAATCATAGAATGATAGCATCTGAACTGGAAGGGTTCTTAGCACCTTATTCAATAGATAAAATGGGGAATCATGAAATTTAAACACCTTGCCCAAGTTCTCTTAACTAGTAAGACCTGTAGATACAAGGTAGACTAGACCAGATCTCTGCATACACATGATTACTATCTCAAGCAATGAACATGTTTCTAAATATGCCAGTTGCAAAACAAACAAACCATGAGCATTCACAATCCTATTGGTACAATAGTATGATTGTACATATTGATCAAAATGAAATTTATAAAACTTGTGAGAAAAAAATTGGTGTTCAACTAGCATGAGATGGCCTGTTTTGCTAAAGATAATGTAACACTCCATCTTTCTGGTTTGTTTTAACATAAGGCTTTTGAAGAACTTAATAAGCAGTTTTAATTTATGGTCATGGCAGCCTGATAAGATTTTTTACTCCCCTCTAATTATACACTGATACCTACTATCCTTAAAGTCATCCTAAAGTTGGTTGATCTAAGAATTTACAGAGTGACTATTGGGTCTGTCTGGCCTAGCAGATTGTCATGTGAACTAGCTGATAGATGATAAAGCCTTAAAACAGAAAACCTGCTGGCTGCTATGAAGGGATGTGTGGGCTAAAAATGAAAAGATACTATAAGAACTTATATCACTCAGTTAAAATCCTGACCATCTAGACACTAGGAGAGATATACATGTATATTGCAAAAAAACATCTCTGTGATGATACTGAGCAGAAATGTGGGAAAAATAGGACATTCAATTGTTAGAATCATATGATTTAAAAAAAACTAGTACTTTTATTCCCCTTGAAATACATTTTTTGATAAAATTCAACTTTAGATGCAGGTGGCATTTTTCTACTGATACTGTGATAAAGCAGGAAGATCTAGAACATCTTTTCCCCACTGTTTTTGATATAACTTTAGCATTACAGTTGCCCCTTAGTATCAAGGGGGGTTGGTTCCAGGATCCCTGCAGCTATCAACATCCAAGGATGCTCAAGTCCTTTATATGAAATGGCATAGTATTTGCATATAACCTGTGCACATCCTGTATACTTTAAATCATCTGTGGATTACTTATGAAACTTTATGATGTAAAAAATTGCAGATGCATGGTAAGTATAATTTTTGCTTCTTGGAATTTTCTGGAATTTTTTCCCCAGGTGTTTTCCATTGTGTTTTAGTTGAATCTGAGGATGCAGAACCCACGGACACAAAGGGCCAACTGAATTTTAAATTTAATTTCTTAATCCTTATGCTACAGGTTTGGCTTTCGTTAATCTATTCTGATAATACTTCGATGATTTTATGTGAACATTAGACAATCGTACTTTCTCATGTTCCTTTGGCTTCCTTCACAGATAAAAGTCTATATTACAAGTGCCATACCTACCACTGCTATAATTATAGTAGACCCACTGGCCGCTCTTAGGTTTTGGAAGTGACACGGGCGTCTCTTCAGCGGGGAGGCTGTGGAGTCGGCATTCCACAAAGAGCCGCTGGATAGTGTCATCTGCAGTCACTCGGGAGTCATTGAGGCTTAGGGCTATGATCTCAATCCGGATTTTTTCTGGTGGCTGTTTAAAGAGCGAAAACAAAGCACAATGAAGAAACAGACAAAAAAATCCTCTACTCTGTTTTCACTGTCAATTTTAAATAAAGCATGAAGGTACTGGCCTTCATTGAGCTCTGTTTTTGGATGGTATTGTACCCTGCTGTCTAGTTACACATGATAGATTATTCACGACAGAGAGAGAGAGAATGAGCCCCTAGTGCCCCAGGGTTTGAAGTTAACAGTGTCATGGCAATAGTCTCCGGATTTACATTGGAGGCTATAAATGCCCCCCAGTAGCCCATCAGGAGTGAAGAGTATGAGGTCTTCATCCCCAACTGCTTTCAGAATGACACACATCAGCTGGCCTTGATGCAAGCTATGTAGTGAAATACATGTTTATCACTGCTTTTATTTTACTCTGTGGTACCTGAGAAAGTTTTGATTATTGAAAGATCAAAGCCTGTTGAACACTTTATAGCTATTATGCTAACATAAATAACTGTATGAATCCATATTAAGTAGGGCTACAGCTCATTCTCATGTGTATTCTTCCATAACATATTTCATTTAATGAGTAATAAGTTTTCAAACAAAAGCAAATTTTTATTGAATTTAACATAGTTTTCTTATAATTTATTATCTCATTTTTACAGAATTAGTGAAAAAATATATTTGTGTAATTTTCATCTCAATCCTTATTTAATAGATTTTAGTGTAACAAACATTATATGTGAGTCATATGTTTCCTTGAACAATAATTTAAAACAAATGATAGACTATGACTTAAAAATTAGATCACACCAAGATAATTCCTCAGTTAAATGTTTACTCAATTTAATTTTAAATGTTTACAGTTTAAAATTTGTTCTTTATTACCCCTTACTAAATCTCTCTTTATTAAATTCAGAGGTATACTACTGTAAATTATATAATTTAAAATAATACTAAAAATCCTGAAACTAAGACCTGCTTATATAACTAACTTTTAGGAATTCATTGTCAAATGTAAATCAGTGTATAAATTCACCATAGCAATTACTATTTTGATATTTCAAAGTATATAATATAATTAATCAAACTGAAAAGCATAAGTACCCTATTGTAAAGAATATTCCCATAAAGAACAATTTCCATTGCTGGCAAACCCCCTCAATATTTGATGAAGTAATTTTACCCCCTTCTTTCAAAAGACATTTTCTTTTATTATGTATTCTAAGACACTTTAACTAAAAACCCAAATCTGAATATTTCAATAGGGTTATTTTATTATTCAGTAGATTCATGGAAATTTTACTAGGATGACAGAGAAAATTCCACACCATTCTGTCTCCACTAATACAGGTACAAGGCTGCAGCTGGCAATATTACTAGGATTAGCATAGTATGATGAAATATTTAAAGGAAAATTTTTTCTAAAACCTAATAAATCAAATGACTGCCAAATGTCATTAAAGTGATGGTCTTTGACTTGAATATGCTTTTCATATTCAAATTTGAAAAGAAAGAGATGAAAGCCTGGAAAGGTTACTCGGTTTCAACTAATAACCTCAAGCCCTCTCTGTTCAAGTGCATAAAAAATGAAGTTGGCTCTATTGTCTAATCTCACTTCAGAAAAGCCCTTCTCAGCTTGCTGAAGACTAACATAGTAACGAAAACATTTTAAATATTATTTTTCCTTAAAACGTATTGTGGTTGTCAAAATAGCATACACACAAACTATTTTATACTTCTGGTTCAACTGCAGCACAGTGCATAATTAAGTCTTTTACATAACTTGCAATTTGACAAACTTAGAATTGTTATGACAATAACATAAAACATTCCTGTGCTGTGCTGTGGTTAGACTGCTTCTGCACAAAAGAATTAAAAGAAAACAGCTATCACAAAAGGAAAAGAGGTGTATACATTGTTATTTTCACATTGTGAATGAGAGGAATTTAAAATCTGGTTATCACAGAATCCAATGAAGAGACAAATTAACTTTTAAATAGCAGGGGAACCAAACTTATTTAAGTGTTTTTTTTAAAATTAATAATATATTAACTATACAATCCCTGTATGAAAACTTGTATCACTGTCAGAACGAACTTAGGCTGTCAAATAAGACTGTATACAAAATATAGTCTACATACTAAAATAATGTAGATACTTGGATAACAAACAAACAGAATACCAAAACCAAATAAACCAAAAGAAACCCACCATATTACCCTCTCCACAAAAAAAGCTTTAAAATTCTTTTTATGATGTCTGTCTTCTTTCTGGCCTAGATCGTTTTTTCTTTTTTCTTAGTTTCCTTCCCACCTCCCCAGCCTCATTAACTCTAGATTATGTCCTTTTCAATTCTCTAACTTAACAGAGTTATCAGTTATCATTTCTTTGTTCCTTTAAGGCTACACGAATCAACCTAAGTCCAAAAAGGGGTAAGTTCCAAATAGTATGTATCTAGGGAAGCATGCCCTGAATAAACAATTTCCAAACATTATAAATTTTGATTAATTGGCTGTTCCGGTTTCAACATCGGAACAATTCTGGTTCCGCTCATGCCTCTGTGAATCAAAAGTTCAACGAGATGATATGCAAAGATTCTGAAGATTAAGAAGCACATCAACTGTGTAGCAGACAGCTCCAATTTAGTGTAAAAAATGAACTCACGCTCTCTCCTCTCCAGCACTCTCATTCACCCTGATACTTGTTATCTCAGGTGATGACATCACCGTCTACCTGGTCACCCACAACCAGGAGACCTTGGAGCCATTCTTGCAAATCTCCATTTTCACACTCACCATATCCTATAGATCATTCATTCCTGTTCTTTTAACTTTCTAAATATTTCAGTGGTTCACTGAATTAAGGAAAGCTGAAGGTATTTCAACATTGTGTCAGCTACTGGAAATACAAAGACAAAACAAGATGTGCTTTCTTTTCTCATTTTTATCTCTAGAGAAACTTCTTTTATGTTCTCACCATGATCTGAGGAAGGAACTAATCCAACAGCTTCCTATAGTTAGAAAGTAGTTTCATAGAATGAGCAGAGAGAGGGTTTCCCAGGTGGCTCAGGGCTAAACAATCCACCTGCCAAGGCAGTAGATGCAGGTTGGATTCATGGTTCAGGGAAGATGCCCTGGAGAAAGAAATGGCAACCCACTTCAGTACTCTTCCCTGGGAAATCCTATGGACAGAGAAGCCTGGTGGGCTAGAGTCCATGGGGTCACAAAGGAGTTGGACACGACTTAGGGACTAAACAACAAACAACAATGATGACTACAGAATAAGTGGGGAGAAATCAGAAAGAATCACAAAAGATAACTGGTTGGTAGAGTTGTAAGCAGACAGATGGTGGTATGAGGCTGTTTAGTTATAGAGTGACTATAGTCTTGCTGTGAGCGTGTTAGTCAGTCAGTCATGTCCAACTCTTTGCAACCCCGTGGTCTGAGGCCCACCAGGCCTCTCTGTCCATGGGAATTCTCCAGGCAAGAATATGGGAGTAGGTCACCATTTCTTTCTCCAGGGGAGCTTCCCCACCCAGGGATCCAACCTGGATCTCCTGCATTGCAAGCAGATTCTTTACCATCTGAGACACTACGGAAGCCAGATCTTGCTGATTGTATCAACACTCAAAAAATAAATGGCTCTATGCTCATGGCTGTGAGAAAGGTAAGGCACTCCTCCGTCTAATCCCCTGCCTGCAGCCTCAACTATTTCTCTGGTGGCAGAGTTCCTTCTCTAAAGCAAATTGGGTATCACCTTTCTGCTTGGAAACGCTACACTCTAGCCATTTCCCCAGACCTGTGGTGTACTGTTTATATTGCTGAGCTTTTGCATCTGAAATCTTCTCCATCAGACAAAATTCCATTTATCTGAAGCCCTGGGCCACGCATGTACTCCTTTTACAAGGGCATTGCTCCTGATTTCCAAGACTGCCTTGGTTCCTCCTCTGAGCCCTTGCTGCTCTTTTCACTCACACTGGACTGCATGGATTTGTTTACATATCTGCCTTGCCCTGTAGACTGCGAATTCCTGGAGGCCAAGACCATATCTTATTCATCTTTTGCTATTTAACATCCTCTCTAGGATCTGGCACTTAGGAGGCTCTCAATAAATACTTAATGACATTGAGTCAAGGGAATGCTGAGGATCTTCTATATATTGGGAATATCTTTTATATATTGCCAGAAATATTTGAAGCTGCAATTACCAGTGCAGCTCCTTTAGCAAATATTGATTGTGTCTGCTACATTTTGGGAAGTTGGGGATTAACTGTTGAAGAACACAGAAATCTTGCCAGTCTAGATTTTAATTGAATAATACTGTTTCAAAGACCGGTCAGTTTTGTAGAATCTAAGGGTAGGGTATTGTTATTTCAGCTCCTCTGTGTTTGAAAATTCTCATCATGAAATAGTGAAAAGAAAAAGTTCAATTAGGTGAAAAGGGATAACAATATACTGATTCACGCGACAGTGACTGAAACACAGCATTTCACACTGATGCAGAATAAGGTCTGTTCAAGACCACTAGAGGAACCCACGCGGTCATTCCTCTGAATGACACCCTGCTCGTACAGTAGGTTAGCTAGCCAGAACAGGCTTTGGGCTTCTCAGTACTTCTCAGTACATGTTCTCTCCTGCTCACCAGTTACCCTATTAGCTTCCCTAGTTAGCCAGATGTCAGCATCAGCATACAAAAAGAGCACTGAAAATTTCTGATTGTGGTGAGCAGCAGTAATAGAAATCTCTCAAATGAGAACTGTGTGCAACTTCCTTTCAGTTGTCTGTATGGATGGACACTATACTTTATGTGATTGAATGATCTGGAAATGTGATGACAGCTTGTATTACTCTCAGAGAAAAAAAAATTAGAGTTTTCATGATTTTGGCTCAATTCCATTCCTGCTTCCTGACTGATGCTATAATTCTCATTTTAGGCCATATTTCTCTATAGTATTTACTTGGGCTTTTATTGGCAGGCTTACATTTTTTTTTTATGTTTTACTTCAAAAGATCATGCTGAATTCTTCCTCCG